CCGTCCAAAGAATAACGTCAGCAGCAAGCAACTAGTATGATACGTTATTTTAAACACGTATTTACGGTCCTGTTGAATTTTTTCCAAACCTTCTCACTAGATAGTCGAATACGTTGAATAGAAATTTTTGTTTTTCGGGTTTTCCTAGAAATGCAAGTAGCTTTCGACGAAATCCAGTTGTCCCCCGACCACACGTGATTCACCCGAGCCGGAGACATAATGTTTCCATTAAAAAGAAAGTTTGTTTACCAGGAATATTCGAATCGTGTACGACTGCGTGATAGTGTAATTATGTTGTGAGTTGTCAACGACGAACGAAAGACGGAATATGGCTTTCATTTATATGTATATCACGCGCGTAAACAGTAAAACCTCGGGTTTTCTACCGAAACACTAAAACACTCGCGTATAAAACACATCAACGACGTCAATGAGCTGTAAAAAATAATAATATCGTGTATCAGAATAGTTTTACGAGGCACCATGATCGAATAGATACGGTACATATTAGTTTTGAACATTTTAAGATTTTTTTTTTTTTTAAGTTTTACGTATTGTTTTATTTTTGAAATAATAAACGTATAGAAAAAAATGAATATAGGCCTAGAATACAAACATAAACATCGATAGTTTAATCACCCAAAAGTAGCGAGAAATCGATTTTAATTTTTTTTTAAGTTTTAGTTTCAGTTACACATTATAAATAATACACCGTTGACATCGGTAATCTAATAATTATATTACATTTTACATTATTTGATACACATTACTTTTGCTTTATAAAATGTATTCGTAGGTTAGGTTTCTCGTGAGTATGCTAATACGTTTTATGTTTTTATTATTACCATTACTTTTTGATGAAATATTTTGATTGCGAATCACGTTCTTATGAATTCTATTTCATTGCACCACCGGACCGATAGTGGTGCAAAATACAAGTGTTCCGGTAAATGTTAAGACGAACATTTTTGCTAGCGAAAACGTTTTCCAAAGTACATCATTGTTCGCTAACAGCTTTCTTATTCCCCTCAGAATCTAAAATTGATTTTTCTAATTAAGAACAAACGTAAAAGTTTTAATTAATTTAATAATTTAAGTCCAAATTATTATTTTTCAACTGTTGGTATTTAATAAGAGCAAACTTGCATAGGTTTATAATTATTTATAACTTATAAGTTTTTACCGAAACGAAAAAAGTAATAAGTTTGTAAAAAATTAAAATACTTGAGCTAAATATTTAATTATTTTCGTTTTATTTATTTTGTTTCACATATTGCCCAAGAAAAATAACGACTAATCAGCAATGTATTTAAAAATACAAACATTTTCAAAATGTTTACGTATGAATTAAATTAATAAATTTATTTTCTTTCTAATAGCGGTCGTATAATAAACATCACTTACGTTAATTATTAATACATTTTAAACGTTCCCCATTAATACTAATTATTTATTTTTTAATAAAAGTTTACTTGATACGTGTGAACAAAAATGGTATGTATAATAAAATTGTATACATCATACCATTTTCGGTTTTTAATTTTTAAATTGGACATCGAGTGCAACATAAATGCAAAAAATATTCTGGTCGATTGAAATCGTTTTTGTACACTCTGTATGGTAATCTTGTCTAATTTACCATATGTATTGGTCTGAAGATGTAAGCCACAGACATCGTAGTGCTATAAACGAATATATCCGTGAAATCGTGTGTATACTATTTAGCTACAGGCTTCGAATCCCGACTTACGGCCCACGAGAGTTCAATCGAAGAATATAAAGCGCGCAAGGGAAAAAAACCAGTAATAAAAAACTACAAAAAAAAAATAAAAAAAAAAAAATAATAATAATAATCATATCTACACAGCGGACAACGGTTGTCCGACAACTGTATACTAGTTTATTTGTAAAAACATGTAGGTCAACTGAGAATTGTGATCGAGTAGATGTGGGTGTCACCTGCAGTGTAAACATGATCCGAACACAAATCGGAAGAATTGTTTAACTTTCCAGATGGTGGTTATACGAGTGTAAAAAAAATAAAAAATAAACATTTAATAAATTATATTATATATGAATAGTAATTATTTGTATTCGTATTTTTTATTTATTCGATTTTCGGTGAAGAAATTTAACAGAGAAATTACTTAGAAAATATTCTAAGATCAGTTTATTAATATTATACAATGTACTTATTGTGTTATATTGGGCATATTATTGAGTGTTGATAATCTCATCCATGTCAACATTTTACGGAAAAATCACAACAAATAGAAAAAAATAATAATTACATTTGGTTGCAGCTCAACGTTTTGTGTTCTCAGATATGAATTATATGTACTAATTACGCATACAATTGAAAATGGATATTTAATTATTAGATGTATCTACAAAAAAAAAAAAATAAAATAATTGGAAATACCTTTAAACTTATTTATAATGTTATCATAACTCGATTAAATCTGTCTTTTACAAGTTTATACAATTACACTGTACAGCGTATTGATTTTTAACGTATCAAATGATAATTAAAGTGTACATAAAATATTTTAAAAGGCAATTTCAAAGTTCTTTTATCCTTCAACTACAGATTTATTATCAACTGTGCACTGGTTTTTATTTATATTTTATGAAAAAAACAAACAAAAGTTTTCATTTTTATTATTTAAATGCCAATTAAATGCAACTTTTCTTAATTACGATATTTGAAACTTTTACGCTTTTATTATAATCAATTGAAAATAATTCGATTTACCTTCAATATTACATCAAATCAATTATACGCATCATAATCAAATTACCGCGGGGTTGTTGTTATCAATAAACTTCAACTTTTTACTTTTATGTAATCAAATTAAATATTTCAATTTTATCATAACATTTCTGAATCACTGACCAAATGACAATCTTACTTTATAAAGACTCTTTTCCAAGAATTGTCCCGAACGAAAGCCAATTACGCGATTCAAATATTGCAAATTTAATCCAAAATCTTATTTATTACGTTATAAATTAAATTTATTCGCGCGATAAATAATTTAATGACCTTTGTAGTTTTACGACTAGTGATGGATTTTAGGGTAGCAAACACGATGCACTATTGGCCAATACTAACACGAATAAAAAATTTAAAACCGTGGTTCCGCTCATCCGAATAAAAAATCCTAGATCCATTGCCGTTTACGACAGCGTCGAGATCTCTAGGCGACTGCAGCAGAACTGGCGCTGTGGGGTGGATATCCGGAGATACTATCCATCTGGCTTTATAATATAAAAAAAAAATAAAAATATTGTTTAACCTAATGCTCAAAATATCTTGATTTCATTAAATTACTTCGATATGTTTTGAAAGATTTTTTATCAATCTTAAGTATGACATATATATATATATAATTTTTTTTTTTTTAATTTACTTTTTTTCTCACATTATAGCAAATATACATAAAACAACATTAAAATAGTCCTTACAACGGCAATAGAAAATAAAACGAGAATTCTCAAATTATGTGCAATGAAATGAGATTCGTTTCCGAGAAATATTTAAAAGGTTACTTTTGATTTTATTTTTAAGTTATAGCGCAACTTTTTTTTATAATTTGAAGGCAATTTTTGTTATTAATGTGAACAATCATGTCGTTCAGTAGTAAAAATCGTTTTAAATTTGCACCATAAGTCTTTAAAATCGATTTTCGTTTTTTAACGTTTATGAAAACAATGTCCACACGAACAAAGTAAATTAATTTATACTTTCGTATCTCTTTTGAATCCGATTTAACTTTAGTTCTTAGCGAGCGACAATGAAATGGAACGCTGTCCATATAACGAAAAGCAAACGTTTAATTTTTTCAAATCATATCCAAGGCAATACATAGTTTTCATTTCATTTTGACTCGCATTTCGCTTCGACTAAACATAAGCGCACCAACAATTATTTGCATTCGGCAATATCATTGTATCGGAACGTTTGAAGCTTGAGAATAACTATTCGATTTCACTAACGGACTAGTTACTGCATTTGCTTGATTTAGTAGTTTGGACAAGTTAAAATTTGAGTCATTAAAAAGGTAAATAAGCTTATGCGGTCCATGTAAAACTCGCATATTTAAGATGGCTTCAAATTTTGAAATGCAAATATTTTTTTTGTGTTTAATGTCATGACTTGTTTCTATTACAGCTCGGCGCGATTTATTTGTTTCCGTCCGTAACCTGTTACCGTCCAGTTTTGTCGTGTGGCCGCCGTCGCCGCTATAAAATACTATTGCATTGCCGCGAACACACGGCCAGGATCTCGGGCGCGTCCGATCACCGCGAGGTCCTGCGGCGACCGCGGTCTAAATGCTGCCCGGCCCCTGGCACAATGCGGCGGAGCGGAGGACAATGGATAACGTCCGCGCGGGACGGCCACGGGAAACCCTGTCCGTCGCGGAGTTGGCCATAAGTACCAGATCGTAAATCCGGACGGTCCCGTTACCCGGAATCCGTTATGGGGTCACGAAGACACGCCGAGGGTATTGGCGGCGAACGCGCGTGATTACAATATCATTATAATATACGTGAATTAACATACATAAATATAATATAATATGTAGATTTATGGACTTGTATGTGTAACGTGTACGTTTATTAACGCTGGAAACCGGTCTCCAGGCCAATGGAGTTCGTCGACCGCCCCCACGTTGTCGCCGATCGAGCCGAGGTCCAGCAGGAAACCTTCTCTCCTTCCGTTCACCTCTCTCGACCGCGCCCGACACCTCGTCCGACGACCGTTTTACGTGGTCACCATCACCACTACCTACCTTAACCCGTATACGATCCAAACGGACGACTGCATTTTCACATTCAAACGTAGATTACCGTTTCGGATTTAGTATCGTGCACGGTATATAGTATACGAACACGGACGCACACGCACGCACACACGTTATTATAATTTACACACCGGACCTTCCGGATTAGCGCGTGCGAGAGTACGGTGTCTGCAGCGTATAAAAGCCCATCGGTACGCCGGCAAACCTCACACACCCGTCTTGTACGCCGCACAGGACACACGTACACATATCGCAGTTGTCGTTTACTCGTTTTACCCGAACACCTATCAGATCCAATCATGTACTTCAACGAGAAATTGGTCTTGTTGCTGGTGTGCACGTCGGCCGCCATGGTGTCCTGCCAGGTGCCCGGATTCGGCGGATGCCCGGACTTCGATTCGCAACCGGACTTCGACATGAACCGAGTGAGTATAACGCGGTTACGAGTGAGCGAAAACGCTAGACGGTTCTCACGTTTAAGTCTTCGTCGGATTTTTGTAGCCGAAAGTTTGCTGCGTCGGGATTTTTATCGCCGTGTATGACTTTGGTTTTTCACCTCGAATAATCACGTGAAACGACGTTGGGCATCACGAAAGTTGTACGTAACATTCGAAAACCAACGGTTTCTTAGATTTGATTTCGAGTTTTTTACTTCACTATCCCGCGCATCCGTACCGTTATTATTTACAATACGCTCTCATTTGTTGTCAACCACCTGTTTTCAAGCACTTCCATCACAAGACATCTGATCAAAAATGTATGCGATTCAATAGGACTTCGTCATCTCAATTTAACGGATTACATTTCACTGTACGATTTCGGGTAAACATTTCGAAAATTAACGTTCGGTTTTATTATTGAAAAATCGTTTGAAATTATAACCTTTTGAAGATTAGGAAGGCCAGTGACCATGTTCAAAACATGAAAATTATTTCATTAACATATTGGTTTTTAGGAAAAAATTCATTGAAATATTTATTTTTACTTGATATACATGCATAGGGAATATAAAACTATGTATGGAAATCTTGTTGATAAGTCGATCCACGCATTCGTCAATATTTTCGTAGGTGCACAATATTATAATCATAGCTGTCCGCGGTGAACAATGCGAAATTAAATCACGTTAATATCGTGTTAAAATAATTGACCGACGTCTTAATATATATATAATATATATATATATATTATATATATATACGCTGTGATACATATCAAGCGTCCATACATTTCAACGAAATTTCATATTATTTTTATTTCCTAACAAGTTCAGATGCTAATCACAAAAGTTACGATGTGTTTCTCTAACGGAATTTCCTGTGAAATAAAAATGAATAGTAACCTATCTATTTTATATTGTATCTGCGGCTTAGTAATAACGGGTCGAGCGATTTCGGAAAATGTTACTGAAAAATAATCAAGTGTAATAATGCCGAACACGAATAATTGTTTACGATTATGGTTGTTTAGTACTTGGGAACCTGGTACGAAGCCGAGCACTACGTCAACATCTTCGAAATCGGAACACGTTGCGTCAAAACCAACTACACGAAAGCCGTTGACGGTAGATACCTCGTATCCAACGAGATCATGAACAGATTGTAAGTGAAGTGTGACAAGCACTGGAAAACGTGTTTTTAACGTGCGTCGATTGTTTTTTACATTTTGTTGTTGACCGTGTTACTTGCAGTACCGGTGTGAAGCGTGTGTTGGACGGTGAAATCAGACTGATCGTCAAAGGAGCCGAATCCAAAATGAACGTCAAATATACGACATTGCCAAGTAATTTTATTATTTTTGCGCGTACGAATAGTGTTTAGTACGACCCGAATTTCTCCACGCATCATCGTCAATGTTTCGCGATGATGGTTTAACTATTGAAAAAAAAAAAAAAAAATAATAATAATAATAATGAAAACTCTACATTAATCGAATGAATAAAAATACGAAAACGGGTAGGTACGACCTTTCTATCAATATTGGAAAATAATCGTTCCACTTTAGAAAGCGTTGGTCGAACGTTGTGATTGAAAGTTTTTGGGTGTGGTATAGTAGTGTACTTATTGTTTTGCTGTAATAATATTAGCAATAACGAAAGATGAGTGCGACGAAACGAAACCGTAAAACGTGTACGTACTGTACTAACCGGCGCGTTGTGTTTTCCAGTCTCGTACTCCACCGAACAAATGATCTTGGAAACCGACTACGACTCCTTCGCCGTCGTATGGTCCTGCTCTTCTCTGGGAGTGGCCAACACACGTAAGTTTAATTTTCTGTCCGTCGAACTTCTCGCCGGGCCGCAAAATAATGCGTCCGCTTTGTGATTTATTACAGAAAACGCTTGGATCCTGACCCGTGAGAAATTGGCTCCGGGCACCGTTTTGCAAAAAGCCTACGGAGTGTTGGACAAGTACAAGTTGAGCAAGACTTACTTCGTCAAGACCGACCAGAACAGCTGCGCTATCGCCGAAGCTGCACCCAGTGAAACCAACGAGAACACATGGAGGAGACGGAGGAGTTTGAACTGAACGCCGCGACAGCAGTACAAATTTCATATTTATCAGAACTAAGAACAATTATTTATTTATTTATTTATTCAATAATATGAGATCTAATCAAAAAAATAAAAATAATATTTATATAGATTTTAAGCAATAAATTTGAGTTTTCGAATTGATTACCATTGTTATTATTATTACTTGTCATTGTGGTAAGATAATAAAAATATGGTACATCCATTATTTAGCTAAACATATACTTTGCACTTAGAGTAAAGAGTTATTAAAAATAATTCGTGTACGTAAAACGAGCAATGTAATATATCTTTTCGGTTATGAGTAATTTTTTTTTTTTCATAAATGAGGTTTAAAAAAAATAAATAAATAAAAATATAAAGATCAAAGGAAAAAGAAAATGTCGACTTATAATACTCATATTTTATGAAAAGGGGACCGTCGACTAGAAGTAGAAATATTTTTACGTTAAAACGTTTCAACGGTTCAATTCTCATAGTTATAAACTATTCTAAAATTGAATTTACTCATAATCTATATTGATCCATTTTTTTCAATTTTTTCGAATGACATTAACCTGCTTCTGATCGACTGAAAAATGTTATTTTGCCTAGAATGTATTTTTCGCAAACGATTAATAAGAACCTCAAAATTGGTTGTTGGACTCCTATATCAGTTTTTAATCTTCTAATGTTTACTTAATCGTAATTATTCGTTTTACCTTCGTCATTCACGACTGGTTTATTCAGTTTCAAATATCATGTGAAAATAACGCAACCCAATGAATTATCTCTCTCGTTTCTAGTAAGCCTCTCGGCATAGTTGTGCTTGGACCAGTAATACAAATAGGTTGATGGTTCCCTCTGTTTTTCTATAGCAGTATCAATGTTTTCAGTTTGAACAATTGAAACGGCTACAACTATTGTTTCGTGAGGTTTTAGTTGAATCATATTATTAACCATGTGTTTAACTGTAAGGAATGTTATTAAATTCAAACAACAATTTTAAAATCATTATCGATATAATACTGGTTTTATTTTCTTTGACGTACACAGTCCAAATGCCCTAGATCGCGTATTAGATCACTTCAGGTTTAGCGCAGTGTTGATACCGAAGTAGATTATTTAATAATGGATATCTTTACTCAAACTTTTGATTAGAAATAATTGATTATGTATTTAAAAAATCGTAGATTAAACAAATAATAATAATATGCGATATGAGTAGCTTGCATTGTATAACTGTATCGGATGTACAGCTAACGGTTATAGTGTTGCACAAAAATATAATAATTACGATGGACCGAGTGGCCTCATGTTTAACATTGTAGACAATATGAATAATACAATTCAAAGAGATGGTCACCGGTCGACCATTATAAATGGTAATTGCATTTAATCCAAATAATCATACAAATAAAAAAATAATATCAATACAAATGTCGATATTTTATTGGTACAAAACTTTCAAATCAAACAACTGATTCAAAAATAAATTTCGTATTTTACAGCACCTATAAAATTTTGAACGGAATACGAGTTAGCGATACCTATAAGAGATTTATTTCAATAATAATTTAAAAATTATTTTTCTTTAATATTCATAATAAGTCAATAATTAGAATCGATGCGATTTATATAATATTTATTTTATATAATACGGTTTAAGGAAACAAAAAATGTTCACTTTGTTTTTTTATATTTTCAGGTGCCCAGTTTTTGTATTACTTTATTATTATTATAGCTTGTGTGTTTATGTGCTAGAAGCACTTTTATTCTTTTTGATTGAAATTATTTAGTATATTTTTAAGAGTGATTGTAAACAGCAAAATGTATTTGTACTCGTATAATAACACTATCTATTGGAGTTGATAATCACTGCCAACGTTTTAATAGAATAAATTGATAAATATCTGGGAAAATATAAAAGTATCGTTTGTAGCGTTAGCGATTAAGTTATAACAGACATATAACAGACTATAAAATATATTTTGTGTGTTTGTGTCTTTGAATTAGTTATTGTTCTGATCTTTGTAATATTTAAATCTTCTATCAATTTAAATAATATAAAAATACGAATAAATAATGAGTCAAGAAAAATTCGACAGGACAGTTAGCCTCATTGATTTTTCATTCGTCGTTTTATATATTTATACAACTGTTTAATAGTTCGTTTTAATTAAAATAACACCACGATACCAAACGTTTATTTTAAACGTAATTGAAATTTATTGCAGAGATCAATTATTCTTTCAACTTGAAAATAAACCAAAATTAAAGTTTCGTATTACAATAAATAAATTAAGAGCCTGTTAAAGTACATGTTTCAGTCGTTTTGAAGTATATATCAAAGTTTCTTTTAAGAAAAAAAAAGCTTTCAAGCTTTAATTAATATTTAATACTATTACAATTTTAATATTTTATTATAAATAACTTTTTTAAGTAAGTACTAAATAGTTTACAGAATCAAGTTTAAAAATTATATTTTTCCCCCTATCAAAAAGTTGATTAGTAGGTGCATTTGAAAAGTCTATATTTTAATTTACATATCAATGTTTTCTTAAATGTTAAGAGAAAGCGAATATTTAACTGATTATGTATATACTAAGTTGTTTACTAGCTAAATTTTAATTTATTATGAAAAATAAAGATTTGTACCTGTAGTAAAAATGTATTGTCTCCATAAAGTATAAACTCCGGTACACACACAATATACATTTGAAATTATTTCTTTAAAGCTTTTATAATATTTACTATTAACATTAGTGTAAATTAATAATTATATTATAATATAAAGTCAATCTTTATGTTGGAATTGAACCAATATACCAATTCTTTCCAAAAAAGATTCTAAATTGAAGAGACCGACTGGACTACGTTATATTTCTAAAGATATATGGATTAAAAGAACTAAATTACTAAAATAATGTAATAGAACTTTTTCGAAATATTTGGTTTCATCATAATTTCATTTTATCATACTTATAAAACATGTCTACAATTTTTCAATACATTTTTTCACATAGAAAATCTTACGAAATGTTTTATGTACAATTTTCAAGTTTTAAGTAGAAAAATTGAAAATTTTAAAAATTTTCAAACACACAAATGCAGCAACGGATATTCATTATTTTTGTCATTTTGTCAAAAACGGTCTTAATTTTTTTTTTTTTTTAAATCAAACTAAATTTATTACAATGTTGAATAACAGATATTCGTGGAAAACATTGCATTCAACCGTCAGCACTTTTCGTCATACAAAAATATTTTACCGACATTTTCGAAGAAGAAACAAGGGAATTATGAACATTTTTAATATTTTCAATGAACGGCTCAAAAATCATCTGGGAATCGACAGCAATCGATGATGTAAGCCGTTCAGCGAGAACTACGATTGTTATTTTTCGAGTTACAGAGAAAACAAAAATTCAATTTTGTCGAAAACCGATGCGTCGTGAACTCGCATCAGTGTTTTTGCCATCGGTTAATTCGTGAAACGACCTCACTTTAAAGTACCGAATCGAAAACCTGAAAACATCGTTTTATTCGAACTCGCCTTGTGATGGAAATCGTGTACGCGGACGAAAAAAAAAAAAATAAAAAATAACGCAACGCACACGCGCGCATCATCGTAAAACCGATAGATATTGCTCGTTGTTTCGTTCGGCACGTACAATTTTCAATTTCTAGTCGCTAAACTTTTTGCTGCGCGTTCGTCACCAACCGTTACCCGAATCATCGTTACGACGACGAATGTTCAGCGCGATCGCGTGCAAACGATACGCCCCCACCGAACGCGCGATTGTCCGGCCGGTCGACGGCGTTCCGGTGTTCGTCAACCGACCGGACGGACGGGAGAAATCGTTTCCCCGCAAAACACTACCACCGTTCGACGTTTGGACGTGCAACCCGTAACGCCCGTGTCCTAAGCAGCATCCCCGTCTATGCGATGCGCTCATCCGTTTGTCCGTCAATGCGATGATCCGATAACACAACGTGTCCCGCGTAGCGTCCGTCAACGTGATATTGCGGTGTATATACGATTTTCGTACAACAATTTTTCGTCGGTCCGTCGCAGGCGATTTAAGAGTACACTTACTCTAGCAAGTTTTACTCGTAGTAAACTATTACCTAGCCATCTGGATGTAATAATATATTTTAGGAATTATGACGTAATGGTATCTGTGATTGATATCTTCCGACCGTCGTGTGTTAACGACAGTTGGTGTGCCGGAAAAAAACGTCCGTACACCGAACCGTCCAATAACAAAATATCATTGTATTACAAAAAGTGTTAATAATAGTTAACGAACAGTCGATTATTTGTAGTACGAAGTCGTCACTCGTCGGTCAGTCGTGCTCGTCAGTAGTAGATTAATAATAAAATGTTATACGGGTATAATACAATATCATATTTTAGCGCTCGACCCGCGTTGATTCGATATCAAACGCACTGTACCCCGCGTACGGCAAAAACAAATAATTTTGTTTTCCGAATTTGCGTCCGACCCGTCCGTTAACGGATTATCGCATTCGCCGCACACTTCGGACAGTTGTATTTATTCGTATATATTTGTTTTTATTTCTTGACGGATTATATCGCATCGGGCGCATCGGACGCCACGTAGGACACGCCGTAAACGTATCGTGTAAAAAACGTACGGCCACCCGGTACACGTGTGTGAAAAGCGCGTCTCGCGGGACGAGCCGAGACGCGTTCGCGCGGTTTTAACCGCGTCGCGCCGGGTCATCGCACTCCCCCATCCGCGTACGCGATCGAGCGTATCGATCCTCCACAGATATATAAGACAACGTTGTTTTATATATCTGTGGGTTCCTTCGACAACAACGCGAAACGCCGGTAACGATTAACGCCTGTCTCCGATCGCCGCCGCCGGGAATATCCGAACAACCGCGAGTGCAGCGAGCGCGTTGTCCCTCCTGGCGACCGGGTCCAATTAGTCCTGTTGAAGTCATAGGCACCGTGGCTGGGGGGCCGGGGCGCCGTCCGAGGGGGTTCGATTTTTTTCCTTACCCTCCGAACCCGGTCGACCCGGCCGTCGAATCACGATCAAATATTACCGCGCCGTTAGGGGCTGTGCGTGCGCCGCGCGGTATTTTTCGCGCACATCTCTCCGCGTGTACCGCGCGATTAGGCGTTATGGC